AAAAAAAAAAAAGAAAACCTTAGTGTTTTTCCAAATATAGGTGTTTTCCTAAAGTCTCAATTTGAAGACAAAAAATATATATATATCAAAGTATTACATAGGATGTGTTCAATTATAAAGTTGCTAGTTCAAATTTTTCTTAAGTCTTTGATGCTGTTAATGCTTGTTTCCTGGCAAATAGCATTAGGCAATAAAATAATGTAACAAATGGCAATTTAATATTAAAGGCAAATATTAGGAACTGTTGATAATTTTAGCTTAACCACTTGCACTTTTTTACACACATCATTGTAAAGTAGGGAATTTTACTCTTGTAAATAAGTATAGTGTAGACCATAGTCTTATTTTCAGCTAGTAAAATTGCTTATGATTCAACATTTCAGGATGTTACACATGGCGTGCCATTATTCCCAGATACCTTGATTCCTCTATAAATTTTTCTAAATAGCAACTTTATTGAGGTATAATTTTCATACCATACAACTCATCTGTTTAAAGTGTACTGTTCAGTGGTTCTTAGTATATTCACAGTGTTGTGCAACCATCACCAAAATCGATTCCCGTGTAAGTCTGAGAACCACTGACGGGGGCAGTGGGGAGCCAGTGACAGTTTACTTCTGGGAAAGACGTAATACACGCTGAGGTGAAACAAAGATTTCTCTTGCAATAGTAAGGAAGACAAATGGGAAGCAGAAATCAGTAATTATAGTGTCTTTGTTTCATATTGGAAATATTAGAAAGGTTGACTCAGCTGAATAAGGTGAATAAGATTGGATGTTTACAATGAGGAAAGAAAATTTTATTGGAGGGGCTGATTTGGTTGATAAGAATTACAAAGAATCAGGTAAGATCCAGGAGGAGCTTTATGTTTCCTCTCGCCTCTAACATACCTTGGTTCAGTGATTAGATCATTTTATTACTGTGAGGACAGTGGCACTGGTCTAAGAGTGTAAATTCAACCTCAGGCTGTTTAGAGGGCTGGTGTGTGTGCTTGTGATTGCCAACATAAAACAAGTGATTTAAAATGTGTAATGAAAAGGGAGGATAATGTAGTACTTAAACTCATGACAATGAAGCCAGGAAGCTTGGCTCTCTGTCCTAGCTTGGACAAGACCTTCAACTTCTCAATTTTCTCATTTTTAATATGGATTTTTGAGAGGATCAAATGAATTAACACCAAGTCCTTAGAAAATACCTGGCAAATGATAAATCCTCAACAAATGTTAGCTATTATTATTTTTAATACAATTCAAAATAGACAGCTTACTTTAAATTTTCATCTATGCTGAGGACAAAGAAATCCACTAGTGGATTAAAAAGGTACTACAACAATAAGATTTACTAAGAAAGCCAAACATTTTTCTTTACACTTCTATACAAAAAGATGCTGTGTTTCTCATTTCAAATGGAAAAGACTATTTAGCTATCTCTGTGTGTGATAATCATTGGCTATTACGATATGTCATTAAACAGTATTATTTCTAATTGAAGTCACAAACTAATATCCATAAAATAAGCAACTCTAGTGTGGTCTGGAACTGAAAGCCAGGCTTAGCTCTGAAGGGGTAAGGTTTATGGGGAGGTGTGTGTGTGTGTGTGTGTGTATGTGTGTGTGTGTGTGTGTGTGTGTGTAATTCAACCACACAGCAAACTTTATCAAAATTCCGCTAACTTGGTCCAGATAAAGCCTCATCTTGGATTAAAAATTATTAACCTATTAAACTATTCCTCCTTCTTGGCATGAAAATAGTACTTCTTGCTTGCTAGCTCCCAAGTTTGACTTCTCTTTTCTACTTTTAAGACTTGGGTTATAAAATAAGGGGGGAGGCATGTAAATTATACCTCAAGTAAACAAGTAAGTGATAAGACAAATAAGGAGAAAGATACTTTTCAAATTGCCTGTGGGGGCCAAAGCCAGGACTCTGTTTTGAGAGGTCTAGTTCTTCAATGCGTTCGATTTCTCTTTTGGAGAAGAATGAACACTTCTGAATCTAGCAGCTATGAATAGGTATTTCATCACTCTTTTCTGAAATGTAATTGTTAATCTTATAGGACTTGAAGCTTTTTGCTATTATATTTATGTCCCCAAATACAATTAGCTTTCTAGTGTGCTCTGATTCTTTGGTGTCAATCGGGGAAGTACTTCACAATCGGGGAAGCGACTTGAATGTAGTGAACCAAGTGACTTGCCACAATCCTACTTTGGGTTTGCCTAAGAGACTGGACTGGCTAAAGTAGGGATGAGGCAAGGAGGAGCTGGGCCAGAAACAGCCACATTTCCCTAGCAGTTA